AGCCTTCCTTGGCCTTGCCTTTCTTGCTGCCACGTCCCTTGAAGCCTTTCATGCCGTAGGCAGAGCCTCCACCTTCACCGGCAGCGGCAGTCAGCTCCTTCCTCCGAAACTCCTCTTGAAGGACTTGAGCACGGATCCACTCAAGGGACCATGAGTCCTTCATGCCATTGAGGTTGACCACCAAAGGGCCCCACGACTCCGGCAGCAGGGAGAGAGCCTTGTAGCACTTGATCTTCTCAGGGTAGTCCACACCAGCAGCTGAGAGCTTCACATAGAGGTCCCGGAGTTGATCAAACGCTCCTTGCATGGCATCACCCTCGTTGATCTTCACCGCATGGAGTTGTCGTTCGAGCACCACCACCATCGCTTCGCTGCTGGGGGCATGGACATCCTTCAATATTTTCCATGCCTTGGGACCACACTGGATATCCTTGATGAGATGCTTGACATGGTGCAGCTGGTTGGATGAGAGACATTGAGAGAGAAGGAAGAATCCATCCTTGGATCGGCGATCCCATTCCTTGGTCGCTCCTTCGCTCGCAGGCCTCTTCAATTCTCCATCCATCACTTCAAGCAGCCCGTAATGGTTAAATAGGAGCTCCATCCTGAAGCTCCATGATGCCCAATCCTCCCCAGAGAACTTCTCTAGGTTGAATGCCTTCACATCATCCTTGGCAAGTGTTGAAACGGATGCTATTGGTGAAGATCCGCCTGCAACGCCTCTTCCTGCTTCCCCAGCGCCTCTCACGCCACCACTGCCATTAGGACCAGCTGGAGCAGAACCTTCAGCCTCCATATTGACCCAGGAACAGAGAAGAACCGCTCTGATACCACTTGTTATAGTCTGCAGTCCACTTAGGGGTCGCGGATGCCCATGAAACCGCCTAAGCAGAATCTGACGTCTTCAAACCGCCTCTGTTCAAAACGCCGTCACGATCAGCTCCGAGAACATACAAGGCTGAAACTTGGACAGCGGTTAGCCTTAGGTGTCTGCTTTCCAACGGTATATTACTTGCTATTATCAGAGGTGTGTGCACTACGCAGTGAACGAAAACGTAAGCTCGGCTGAAAAAACGTGTATTCTCATTGATGCAAGGAAGAGGTGAGTACAACATTGCCTAGGGGACTCATAAGGGGTTGGGTCATCCTGGGAACTCAGAGAAGGTTGAGTCCTAGGGGAGAAAGGCTAGAGAAGAATGGGAAACGTCCTAGCTAGGTCAGCAAAGCCAACCACACTTGGATGTTCAGAGCTGTACTCAAGGCTACCAATAGTGAGTCAAGCCAACATGAGTCAGCTTGTCTTCCCACTTGCACCCTCTTGCAAGTTGCTTCCAAGAAGACCACACTTCTCAAAAGGAGGGTTGTAGAGTCCCACTTGACCACCTGTACTTCTTGTCTCATTCTCTGTCCCTGCACCATTGGCATGACAACAATGAAAGGGTGGCAAGGGAAATGCTGCCAACAGTGCACCATGACTACGGAACAGTGAATTTCGGCAGCTGTCACGCAATGCTCAGATGTTGGATCGTTCTGAAACTTGGTGACCACTTGCACAGCGGGGCAAAGGACTTCCAGACCGAATTTCAGACCAATCAGATCTCGGTAGACGAGTCAGCAGCCGAAATGGTGAACTCGGGTGTTACCAAAAAGGAGTAACACACACTTCCGGGATGCCATAAGTCTTGAAACATAAAATGTTGTTATGCCTTGGTAACTGCTTCAAAAACTCTGAGACTTTGAGGGTTTGAAGAAAACGTGTTGAACAACCTCCCCACAAAATTCCAGAAGCTGAGCAGGCTTGTAGGCCGAATGGGAGTGCGATGACCGTGCCACTGTAATGTGTTGGCACAACATCCACCACCGCTGCCGCTGCCTCCACCACCTCCACCACCTCCACCACCTCCACTGAAGCCCCCACTCCCAGCACCACCCCCACCTCCACCGCCACCTCCTCCACCGCCTCCGCCGCCGCCCCCGCCGTCCCCTCCACCACCCTTGCTCCCCTTGCCCTTGCTGTTGCGGCGCCTCCCACTGGGAGCAGACGCAGTCCCGACCTCCTCAGTGCCAACAAGGTCGATAGCAGCAGCAGAAGCAACAAAGGGGAGAAGGGGGACAGGGGAACACCCCTCAAAGAAAGGGGTGCGACGGTCGCCGCGAGAAGCACCTACAGCTAAGATACTCTTCTCAGCTGCAGCTAGGCGCTCCTCTAGCAGGTCGACAGTGAGCTCGGTGGGGCAAAGGGAGAGAAAGTGGTCCCTGACTGAAGCAAGGGAGTCAGGGAGGCGGGTGACTATGTAGTAAAGGGTGATGTACATGGGGGGGGGGGTTCTTGGCACAGAACTCAGTGGGAAGGGCAGCGCGGTAGCGGGCGTCACTAGTGCAGAGGTGAGCAATGAGGTCAGCGAATGTGGCAAAGGCGGCAAGATCAGGGAAAAGGTACGGCAGCATGAGGCGGCTGAGGGCAGCAGTGGCAGGGGAGGAGTAGCGCGCAACTACAGCGTCGTACAAAGACTGAGCAGTCTTGTACTGGCCAAAATGCGCTCGCTCAGCAGGCGGCAGGTGACTACGAACAGCAAGACGAGCAACAGCGTCACGAGTGGTCCACTGCGAGCGAACCGTACTGTCAGCAGTGGCAGCAGGTGCAGTAAAGACACTGGACGTGTGATCGAAAAGGGATACTCCATCCCTAGAGTCACACTGAAGAAAGAGCTGCAGATCGTCAACCCACACGTCAAAGTCAACTGCACGTCCCTCAGCATCAAAGGTGAGAACAGTAGGGCTAGCCATAGCAGCAGTAGCAGCGGTAGCAGCAGAGGCAGTAGGGCAGGCAGGGCAGTGCGGCTCAGTAGGGCGGCGCGGCTCGGTAGGGCGGCGCGGCTCAGTAGGGCGGCGCGGCTCAGCAGTGCGGCGCGGCTCGGCTGGGCGGCGCGGCTCGGCAACTAGCGGCGTGGCGCAGCAGGGCGGCGCGGGTGCTTACCAGGGGCGGGTGCAGGGCCGGGCCGTGACAGGAGGGGCCGCGATAGCTGGGGCCGCGTCAGCAGGGGCCGCGACAGCAGGGGCCGCGCCAGTAGGGGCGGCGACGGTAGGGGCCGCGACAGCAGGGGCCGCGACAGCAGGGGCCGCGATAGCAGGGGCCGCGTCAGTAGGGGCCGCGGTAGCAGGGGCCGCGATAGCAGGGGCGGCGATGGCAGGGGCCGCGACGGCTTGGGGCCGCAACAGTAGCAGGGGCCGCAACGGCAGCAGGGGCCGTGACGACAGCAGGGGTCGCAGCGGCAGTAGGGGCCGCGACAGGTGGTGACGGCAGGGCCGCGAGGCAGGGGCTGCGACGGGCGAGGGCCGCGATAGCAGTAGGGGCCGCGTCGGCAGTAGGGGCCGCGACGGCAGGTGGGGCCGCGACGACAGTAGGGGCCGCAACAGGCAGTAGGGGCCGTGACGGCAGTTAGGGCCGCGACGGCAGTGGAGCCGCGACAGCAGTAGGGGTCGCGACTGCAGCAGGGGCCGTGACGGGCGGCGACGGCAGGGCCGCGATGGGCGGCAAAGGGGCCGCGACAGGCGGCGAACAGGGCAGGGCCGCGACTGGCCAGACTAGGGCAGGGCGCAAGGCGCGCTTCGGGCAGGGTAGGAAAAAAATGTTATGGTGGGCCCTTAAAAACGTTCCCACTAGGGAACCTGCTCAGAATACCATGTTAGAATGTGAACGAATGAAACATTGAACTAGAAAGCAGTTGGGTACAAGTAGCAAACCTAGAAATGTTGTACCCTATAAGAACTACCCCACTACAGCCTAAAGAGACTATAGCATATAAGTTTGACACGCACCACCAACCGCAGTTGTCGTGAGGTGTCGTTTGCAGTCGGCGACCGTGTCCTTTTGGATAGCCGCAACCTCCGACTGCCACAGGACAGCAAGCTTCGCCCTCGCTTCATTGGTCCATTCGTCATTGAGCGCGCACTAGGTCCAGTCGCATACCGCCTCCGCCTTCCAGCTCATTTCTGCATGCACCCATCATTCCACGTGTCTCTCCTTCGGCCTTACACCGATCCCAATGCCACCTTCTCGGGCCATGATCGCACTCCACTGCCACTAGCTGTTGACACCGACGAGCCCGACTACCAGATCCAGCGCATCCTCCGGCACCGTCGCCGTCTCCAGGGGGGTGTCTCTTTCATCGACTTCTTGGTTCGTTGGCGTGGTTACGACGCAGGAGACGACAGCTGGGTTCCTTCGTCCTCACTGTCTTTTGACAACGCTTACCTCCAAGCGCACCTTCAGTCTGCAGGCGCCGCGGACGTCGCCTCCTTGGGAGGGGGGTTTACTGTTCACTTTGAACAATACTTCCCAACCCCATCTTATCCTTATCTTCATAGATTTCCTAGTGCCGCGTGGCACTCTAGCTTTCTTGCATTCTACTTCGTAGTCCCACGAACTACTTTCTGACATTCGCTCTTGCATGCTATATCAACATTGCTTGTACTTGCCATTATCAACCAATTACTATTCAACTATTACTCAGTTACTTCTTCGCCTATTTCGCTAAGACTTCCTTAGCCAAAGTCTTCCGCCGCGCTTCATCCTCAATTTAGTCAACCCTGCTATTCTTTAGCGGATTTAGGCCAAGGGGCCTAACAAAATTGGTAAACGCTTATGCTACAGTAAGTTATTGTACGCTTCACAGCGGACTTCCGAACCGTACCGTTGTTCTGGAAAAATAATCCAGATGTTCCACCCCCTAAAAGAGAACTAGTAACAGAACACAGCGAACCTGCCGTTCCGAACACAAACTATTGCCGTCTCTCAAGCCATAGTCCCTCTCGTCCTCATCCTCTAACCTCGGGTTGCCCTAGCCTCGCATAGGCCGCGTCGTGAGGTTGTAACCCGGTATCTACACACGAAACTGGCTTCAGTTCTACAACGGAGTGTACTAGAAAGCGCGTCGCGATCTGGGAGATATTTGACCACTTAGCGATTATCTGTTAGCCCCGCTGGCGAACGTGTCAGAATGCTATGGGTGGACAAGCACCGACCAGCCACGCTGGACAAAATCACCGTTCACCGCGACACGGCTTTACAGTTGAAGCAGCTGGTGAGTAGCGCACAGCAGCGCCTATTGCCCGCGTCTCTGCAGCACCCCTCCCCGCATAGAGGAGATGTTTCTCCCGCGCATTCTCCCGCGCATTCTCCCGCGCATTCTCACGTGCAAGAACCGATTCGGACTCATTGTCCCACCAGCTTTCCCCTTTCGCCTCCTTCCACCCTCTTCCCGCTCCCAAGGCACACACCAAGTCGCATGCTCCCATCTGCTGCTGTTCGAACAGCAGGCCCTGCATGCCTCTCCCTTCCAGGATCATCGGTCCACAATACATGTTCGTATCCCCCCCGCTCCCCTCCCCTTTCCTCCTTCCCCCTCTCCCCCCTTTCAACCCCCTCTCCCCTCCTCAATCCCCCTTTCCTGCAGGGTCGTACGGGCGATTGCCCTCCCTCATCCGCTGCTGTTCGGCCCGGGCCAAGGCATGAGGGTGCAGCTTCCTAGTCCCCTCCCCTCCCCTCCCCTCCCCTCCCCCCTTCTCCTCCCCTTCCCAGGCTCGTCGAGCAACTGTAATAAATATCTCGTCTCAGCATCTTCCCGCCTTCCCTTCCCCCGTCTTCCCCCCCGTTGCAGGTGGAAACAGGCGACTGCCCGCATCTGCTGCTGTTCGGCCCGTTAGGCAACGACACAATAATACATGTCTTGTACTCCCTCCCCCCTCCACCCCACACCCTCTTTCTCCCCCCTCCCTTGTGCAGGTGCAAGCGGGTGACTGCCCACATCTGCTGTTCTTCGGCCCGTCAGGCGCCGGCAAGAAGACGCTCGTGCTCGCACTGCTGCGCGAGATGTTCGGCCCCGGGGCTGATAAGGTGGGGTGGGGGCGGGGGAGGTGGGGGGGGGGAAGGGGGGGGCTGGGAGGGTTGGAAAAGATGTGGGGAAAGGATGGGAGAGCGGGAGAGCGAGCGGAAGGAGGGAGAGTGAAGCTACCACGTTATAAAGGGTTGATGGGAACGCATCATCCCCCAGAAGGAGCGGTGAGCAACTGCTATTGCTTTCGTGTATGTGACAGACAGGAACCGTCAAGCCCTATGTGTAGGCTTGACATGATCTGTCAGATGTAGGCTTGACGTGTTGGGGGGGAAAGGGGGCAGTGGAGATGGCAGTCTGTTCTGTACACGAGAGGGACACTGTGAACTGCCGCCGGTGGTAGTTGTGCTGCGTGTCAGACCTCAACACCTCAACAGCGCCACTCATTTGTGCCCCTATGTTTTGATTTGTGGATGCATTTGTGCTCATGCATGTGTTGTGTGTGATTGAGTGTACGTGTGTGTGTGTGTGTGTGTGTGTGCGCGCTTGTGTGTGTGTGTGTGTGTGTGTGTGTGCGCGCGCACGCTTGTGTGTTTGTGTGTGCTTGTGTGTGTGTGTGTGTGTGTGTGCGTGCGTGCGCTTGTGTGTGTGTGTGTGTGTGTGTGTGTGTGCGTGCGTGCGCTTGTGTGTGTGTGTGTGTGTGCGCTTGTGTGTGTGTGTGTGCGCGCGCGCGCACGCACGCTTGTGCGTGCGTGTGTGTGTGTGTGTGTCCAGGTGAAAGTAGAGAACAAGCCGTGGAAGATTGAGGTACGCACCACTCGACTGCCCAGCCATGCAGCCTCCCTCGTGTGAGCTCGTGACAGACGCCCCTTTCCCAACGAGCCTCTTCTGCATGTCTCCCCCAAAGCTACTCACATCTTTTGTCCGCCAGACAATGAATGAAAAACCCAGCAGCCTAACCTGTAGTACTTCCGTAACATCTACTGCCCTGCTTGGCAGGCGGGCACATTTAATAAGCTAGAGGTGGAACTGACGACAGTGACGAGCAACCACCACGTGGAGCTGAGTCCCAGCGATGCAACCTGTGGTAACCCGGTTACACTGATTCCCTTGCCTGGCAGGCAGGCACGCGGAAGCTAGAGGTGGAGCTGACGACAGTGGCGAGCAACCACCACGTGGAGCTCAGTCCCAGCGATGCGGGCTTCCAGGACCGATACGTGGTGCAGGAGATCATCAAGGACATGGCTCGTAATAGACCCATCGGCTCCAAGGGCAACAGAAGCTTCAAAGGTGCATGTAGTGGTGGCTATCTGTGTGTGGTGGTGCGGGTTGGCTCTGGCTAGTACTGGGGCGGGAGATCATCAAGGACGTGGCTCGTAATAGACCCATCGACTCCAAGGGCAACAGAAGCTTTTAAGGGTACGTCATTCGGGGGGGGGGGGGGTGGGGGAGGAGTGGGGGGAAGGGGGGGTGGGGCGTGGGTGGGTGGGTGGTGTGGTGATGATGGGTGTGGCTCATTGTTGGGGTTGTGGCTCTAGTTGATATTGGGGAGTGGAAGGGAGGGGGGCGTGAGGGTGGTGCACAGCCGCCCCATCTGTCCTGTTGCTCCTTGCACGCACGCACTCTCGGTGCTGTGCCATTCACCACCCACTTGCCTCTCTCTTCCCATTCTTTTCTTTATCCCTTCTCCCGTCCATCCTTTCCACCGTCTTCCTCTTTCCCTTCTCTTCATTCCCCCCGCCCGTTCTTTTCTCTCCACTCTCTTCCTCCTTCCCTCTTCTCCTCCCCCCTCCCCCAAGCAGGGCTGGTGCTTCACAAGGTGGACCATCTGAGCAGGGAGGCACAGCATTGTCTCTTTCCTCTTTCCTGCTCTCTCCACTCTCTCCCTTCCTCCCTCTCCCTCTCCAACCCCCATTCACCCCCACCCACCCCAAGCAGTGCTGGTGTTGAACGAGGTGGACCATCTGAGCAGGGAGGCACAGCATTGTCTCTTTCCTCTTTCCTGCTCTCTCCACTCTCTCCCTTCCTCCCTCTCCCTCTCCAACCCCCATTCACCCCCACCCACCCCAAGCAGTGCTGGTGTTGAACGAGGTGGACCATCTGAGCAGGGAGGCACAGCATTGTCTCTTTCCTCTTTCCTGCTCTCTCCACTCTCTCCCTTCCTCCCTCTCCCTCTCCAACCCCCATTCACCCCCACCCACCCCAAGCAGTGCTGGTGTTGAACGAGGTGGACCATCTGAGCAGGGAGGCACAGCATTGTCTCTTTCCTCTTTCCTGCTCTCTCCACTCTCTCCCTTCCTCCCTCTCCCTCTCCAACCCCCATTCACCCCCACCCACCCCAAGCATGCGCTACGGCGCACCATGGAGCGCTACACTGCTGCCTGCCGCATCGTCATGTGCTGCTCCTCCGCCTCGCAGGTGAGGTGGGGTGGGCAGGTGAGGTGAGGTGCCGCATCGTCACGTGCTGCTCAAGTCAAGAACGCATGCGCTGCTCCTCCGCCTCGCAGGCGGGCAGTGAGGCGGCAGGTGGGCAGTGAGACGATGTAAGGCTGAAGAACCCCTTATCGTGGGGCAATGCATGGATTCTGCATGCTTGGCTTGAGTTGACTTGAGCTGGCTCGTTGTTCTTCCTCTCTTGACCGCAGGTGTAGCCTATGCGCACTCGTGATTTTCAATTCGCTGTCTGGCTTTCCATGCTCATTGGCATCCGTCTGAGTCCACTCAATTGACATTCCGTACTACCATGCTGCCATGCTGCCATGCTGCCGTGCTGCCTTGCCTGCCACCCCACAGGTCACGGAGGCTCTTCGCTCGCGATGCCTCAACCTCCGCATCGCTGCTCCCTCCCACGACCAGGTGTGACCCTCTTACCCGTGGGCTAGCACCCTTTTCGTACTTGCACTCACAAGCTCACACTCAACCAAGGCATTCCAGTTGCACTCATGCTGTCCCTTCAATTCCTTAAAGTCCCCACAAGTGTTGGTAAGGCCCCTGCTCCCTCTATTGCCCATCCCCGTCCTTCCCCCGCAGATCTCCCCTGTCCTTCCCCCGCAGATCTCCCCTGTCCTTCCCCCGCAGATCTCCCCTGTCCTTCCCCCGCAGATCTCCCCTGTCCTTCCCCCGCAGATCTCCCCTGTCCTTCCCCCGCAGATCTCCCCTGTCCTTCCCCCGCAGATCTCCCCTGTCCTTCCCCCGCAGATCTCCCCTGTCCTTCCCCCGCAGATCTCCCCTGTCCTTCCCCCGCAGATCTCCCCTGTCCTTCCCCCGCAGATCTCCCCTGTCCTTCCCCCGCAGATCTCCCCTGTCCTTCCCCCGCAGATCTCCCCTGTCCTTCCCCCGCAGATCTCCCCTGTCCTTCCCCCGCAGATCTCCCCTGTCCTTCCCCCGCAGATCTCCCCTGTCCTTCCCCCGCAGATCTCCCCTGTCCTTCCCCCGCAGATCTCCCCTGTCCTTCCCCCGCAGATCTCCCCTGTCCTTCCCCCGCAGATCTCCCCTGTCCTTCCCCCGCAGATCTCCCCTGTCCTTCCCCCGCAGATCTCCCCTGTCCTTCCCCCGCAGATCTCCCCTGTCCTTCCCCCGCAGATCTCCCCTGTCCTTCCCCCGCAGATCTCCCCTGTCCTTCCCCCGCAGATCTCCCCTGTCCTTCCCCCGCAGATCTCCCCTGTCCTTCCCCCGCAGATCTCCCCTGTCCTTCCCCCGCAGATCTCCCCTGTCCTTCCCCCGCAGATCTCCCCTGTCCTTCCCCCGCAGATCTCCCCTGTCCTTCCCCCGCAGATCTCCCCTGTCCTTCCCCCGCAGATCTCCCCTGTCCTTCCCCCGCAGATCTCAAACGTTCTTCAGGAGGTGGCAGGCAAGGAAGGAATGAATGACCCCACCTCAGTGCTGGCAAGAGTGTTGTGAGTCGACTCGCAACTCACCTCGCCCGGTTGATCTTCGTCCACTCTTCCCCTCCCCCACAAATAGCGAACGTGCTGCAGCAGTGGCCAGGCAAGGAGGGCGTGAGTGTAGTGCCTGTTCGCACTGGCAGGGCTGTTGTGACTCGACCCACAACACCGCACGTCACCTCCCACCACCCCGCCCCCACCTGCGGCAGATAGTGGACGTGCTACAGGAGGTGGCAGGCAGGGAGGGCGTGAGCCTACCGCCCGTGCTGGCAGGGCTGTTGTGAGTCGGCTCACAACACACCCCTGTCCGCAACCCCTTCCCATCGCGCCCCCCCCTCCCCACCTGCGGCAGATAGTGGACGTGCTACAGGAGGTGGCAGGCAAGGAGGGCGTGAGTCTACCACCGGTGCTGGCAGGGCGGATGGCAGTGAGCAGCAACCGCAACCTGCGTAAGGCGCTGCTCTCCCTTGAAGCCGCCAAAGCCGCCCAGTGAGATGCCTGCCTGCGAGCCTATTGTGAGCTCCCGCTCTCAATTCACCTGGTCTCTGTCCCATCATCGGACAGTTTTGCCGCACTGCACTCCTCTGATCACCTGTGTTTGCTCTCTTTTGCTGCCACCTGTGGAAGGTGCTGCTCGCCTCAGGCCGCTAAAGCTGCCCAGGTAGAACCAAAATGGCTCTCTTTCTTTGCAGCTGTGCAGCTGGTATCCTCTGCGTTCTCAGACTATGCACTTAGCTTTCCGCAAGGCAAGGAAAGCCCCCATCTGTTACCCTCATCGCTCAACTCTCATTCACCGATTCCCATCTCCTCCACCACTCCCCATCTCCTGCAGCACACCGCCCTGTACTCGCACTCACTCCCTCTCACCGTTCCCCCCACTCCCCATGCGCACAGCTACCCGTTGAGTGACAGCCAGCCGGTGCAGCAGAACGACTGGGAGCTGTGTGTGGTTGAGATCGCTGCTGACATCATCAGCGAACAGAGCCCCCGCCGGTGAGGCATGTGTGGTAGGGGTGGGAAGAGGGTGGGAAGAGGGTGGGAAGAGGGTGGGAAGAGGGTGGGAAGAGGGTGGGAAGAGGGTGGGAAGAGGGTGGGAAGAGGGTGGGAAGAGGGTGGGAAGAGGGTGGGAAGAGGGTGAGAAGAGGGTGGGAAGAGGGTGAGAGGATGATAGTGTGTGGAAAGGTGGGGAGAGTGTGGGCGGGTGGGAAAGGTTGAGGGTGGGGAGAGAGTGGGCGGGTGGGAAAGGTTGAGGGTGGGGAGAGGGTGGGCGGGTGGGAAAGGTTGAGGGTGGGGAGAGAGTGGGCGGGTGGGAAAGGTTGAGGGTGGGGAGAGAGTGGGCGGGTGGGAAAGGTTGAGGGTGGGGAGAGAGTGGGCGGGTGGGAAAGGTTGAGGGTGGGGAGAGAGTGGGCGGGTGGTTAAGCATGGAGTGGGAGCAGCATGTTGCGGGGTGTCAGGGGATGTCAGAATGCATTTCTCGTTTGAGAGATGGTGGATGGGTGAGGAAGCAAGGAGGTGAGGAAACGAGGAGGTGAGGAGGCAAGAGGCAAGGATGGGAGGGAGGAGCTAAGAAGCTCATAACCTCTCCATCCTCCTGAACCGCATGCCGTGCCCGCCCTGCACGAAGTCTTGCGCGCCTCTTCCCATTCTATCTCCTCATACCTTCTCATCAGGCGGTCCCTGTTCTCTCTTCCCTGCTCCTCTTCCCTCTCTTTCCTCCCCCTCCACCTCCTCCTTCATTCCCCTCTCCCCTTCCCACCCCATGCCAGCCTGTTTCAGATCCGAGCCAAGTTCTACGACCTTCTCATCAACTGCATCCCACCGCACCTCATCCTCAAGGTAAGGCCCTACACCTACACCCAACTGAACCAGTTCCTGGGCCCTAGTTTGTACCATGCGCCTGACAGGCCATTAACCCCCACCCACTCTCCACTCCCCGCCAGCGTCTGACAGTGAAGGTGACGTGTCAGTTGACGCTCACAACCTCCCCTTCTTTCACGTTGTTTCCCCGTCTTCTTCCTCTCCCCACCCTCACTGCTCCCCGCAGCATCTGATGGCGGAGCAGATGCGCAGGATGCAGGCTCATCTCATCTCATCACCTCATGCCGTCCTTAACCCCTCTCCACCCCCCTGCAACCCACTGCCTTCTCCAGTGTCTGACAGTGGATTTGATGCGCAGGATGGACGCGGAGCTCACGACTTTTGAGGCACCTCAAAAGTCGTCTCCTGTCTCGAGCAAGAGTCAAACTGGACGCAAACTGAAAGTGGAGTTGATGATGTGCAAGATGGATGTGGAGCTTGAGCACGGCACGACGAGTCTATTTCTGAGGCGCATCAATCATAGCCTCCTCATCCCCTCTCTACACCTCCTCGCCTCTTCCTCCCCCCCTCCCAGCGCCTACCAGTGGAGTTGATGCGAAAGATGGATGCCCAGAACTTCAACCCTCTCTACTCCACCTTCCTCCCTCTCCCCTCCCCTCCCCCAGCGCCTGACGGTGCAAGATGGGCGGTCAAACTTCAATCCCCCATCCCTTCTCTACTCCCCCTTACCCCCTCCCCCCCCCCCCCCCCCCCCCCCCAGCGCCTGACAGTGGAGTTGATGCGCAAGATGGACGCGGAGCTGAAGCACGACGCGGGCCTCCATCCAAGCCCGTGCCTCACCTCTCTCTCCTCCCGCCCCTTCCCCCCCAGCGCCTGACAGTGGAGCTGATGCACAAGATGGACGCGGAGCTGAAGCACGACGTGTGCCACTGGGCCGCCTTCTATGTGCGTGCTGTATGGGCGTGGGGAAGAGAGGGGAAAGGAAGTATGGGGTGTGAAGTGAACTCACAGGCTTTCAAGCACGACGTGTGCCACTGGGCCGCCTTCTATGTGCATGCTGCATGAGGCGGGGAGGGGGTGGGAAGCTTGGTATATAGTTGGGGTGTAATCCACTCGAAAGCATAAACACAACGTGGACCACTGGCCCGCCTCCTGCGTTCGTGCTGCAACAAGGGGGGAGAGGGGGAGGGGAATGGAGGGGAAAGGAAATAGGGGTGTGAGTTGTAATGGTTGTGGACTCATAGGCTCTCAAGCATGCCGTGTACCACTGGGCCGCCTTCCATGTGTGTGCTGCAGCAAGGGGGGAGGTGGGGGGAGAAGGGGGGAATGGGAGGAGAGTAAAAAGAGGGGAGAGGGAATAGAGAGTGGGGATGAGGGGGGGGGAAGAGGGGGGTTGGGGGTTGGGAAAGAAAGAAGAGTCATTGTGACTTTCCCCTCCACATTCTGAGCTCAAGCTTTGGCTGCCTGGCACGTGTAGTGATGGTGATGGTGATGGTGATGGTGATGGTGATGGTGATGGTGATGGTGATGGTGATGGGTGATGGTGATGGTGATGGTGATGGGTGATGGTGATGGGTGATGGTGATGGTGATGGTGATGGTGATGGTGATGGTGATGGTGATGGTGATGGTGATGGTGATGGTGATGGTGATGGGTGATGGTGATGGTGATGGTGATGGTGATGGTGATGGTGATGGTGATGGGTGATGGTGATGGTGATGGTGATGGTGATGGTGATGGTGATGGTGATGGTGATGGGTGATGGTGATGGGTGATGGTGATGGTGATGGTGATGTGTGGGAAATTCTTAGGTTTAATAGACCATGTTAAGAGGTGTCACAACTCAGGCTGGAGGCATGTTCCTCTAACAGCCTTCGATGTGTTTTTATCGAGGGAAGGAGCCTGTGCTTTCAGGGGTGGATGGATGGTTGGTGGGTGGGTGGGAAGGCAACTGGGTTGGGGGCCTTATACTGGGTGAGACAGCTTAGATGAAATGCCCTCAGGTATCGAACATTGTCGTCTATTAAACATCATGGGCCGCAAGCTTGTTGCCTGTACACAGGCATGTAATGCATGCATGCATCCATACATTGATGCATGCATGACATGAATGGCCGGTTTCTTCAGGTTAACATGCAAATTTTTCTGTGTGTGGATCGCATTTGTGTGTTAAAGCCAGGGTCTCAAGTAAGCTAAGGAGCCGTCAACTGCAAAGCAGTTGACGCTAGGTTACCTAGTTATTGCCGACGAAGTTCTTTCTGGTTGGGTTGAAAAATCAGCTTGCGACACACCCCAGAAGCGATTGCACAACACTTTTGAGTACTTGAGACTTTCGATGAGTTGGGGGCATTTTAGGTTTGGCTCCGAACCAAGTTTCCAAACCTAGAAGGTTCGGGTACACCCAACGATTTGCGTTCACTTCGCACCCCTCGCTTCTCCCCACTTCAAACCTTTCACCTCGCCAACCAATCGCAGCCCAACTTTCACCAGCAACTGCAAAACACTTGTAGTACTTGAGACCCTGGCTTTAATATTCGCCTAAGCAGGAGCATCGGTTACATTTGGGACAAAAATCGATATTCCACCTTGAAGGTATGTTGCACCACATGCCAATGCATGCACCACGTGCCAATGCATGCACCACACGCCAATGCATGCACCACGTGCCAATGCTTGCACCACATGCCAATGCATGCACCACATGCCAATGCTGCAAAAGCCAAGCTGGTGCATGCCAAGTTACATCACTTCTCCCCACCATGTGCATCCACCCATGTGCATCCACCCAACCCTTCCCTTCCCCTCCCCTTCCTCCCCCTCCCTGCTTCTCCCTGCGTTTCCCTTGCGCCTTTGCGTGCAGCCTTTGCTGCCAAGGTCATGGCGATCTACAAGGAATTCCTCATTAATGAGTTTGGTTGATTGATGCGCATAGCGCTGGGGAGGTTCATGCATTGGTCTGACGCAGGGGTCTAGCGGGTGTATGTCGTACCGGTATATGTGCAATTGAAAGGCGCAAAGCTGTGGATGAAGGGTACCGTATGTATTGTCAAGAAACTGAACGAGAATGATTGAATTGAGATAGAACTGAGTACAAGTACTAACCCAGATTGGGTTGTACCCCTTATGGGCTACCCCACTACAGCCTACACAATAAAAGCATTATAACATTTTGACACACCCCCATAGGCAAAGTAGGGGAGAACAAGCGGTTACAAGACCAGTCAAAAAAAGCAAAGCAAGCTCAGGGTGGATCACGAAGTCACCACACATTCCGAGCACAAGCAAATGGCCACAAGCCCTGTTCACATGCAGAGTTATATAAAAGAGAACAAACAGTACAGTGATCATAACCTAGCAAGTGTAAGCATGCAGGTACCGTACATATATGTGTATATATATATATATACATACATATCACAGTACGAGCAAAATCACGCAATGAGCAAATGAGGCAAAGTAGGCACAAGGCCTAAAACAGTACAGAAGTGCTGATGATCACCAGACTGAAGTGCCTTGGTGAAGATGTCAGCAGTGTTGGCCCGAGTGGCCACGTAAGCAAGACGAAGCTGAACACGCTGCTGCAACTCTCGAGCAAGGAAGTAAAGCAAAGCGATGTGCTTCGTCCTGTGCTCGACTCTGTGCTCCTGACACAAGGCAATCATGGCCTTGTTGCCTACGCATAGAACTGGAGGAGAACGAGGCCGCTCTCCTAAGTCGATCAGCAGGTAGGTGAGCCAGCGTAACTCCTGTGCAGCTATGGCTCCTGCGCAGATCTCTGCATTACAACTGGAAGTGAGAACAGAAGACGAGCGGATAGACCGCCAAGAAACAGAGCCGGAGCCAAGGCTGAAAGTGTAACCCTATGACGACCGCTGCATAGCCAAGTCGTCAACCCAAGACGCGACTGCGTGTCCAGTGAGGACAACGGGACCCCGTCCTCCAAGCACGAGCCCCATGCCCGATGTACTGCACAAGTAGCGCAGCACCCTCTTAGCGGCCTCCCAATGCTATGGTCGGTGTCTCCCGGGCGCAACGTAGCGTGTCAGGATGCTAAGAGGGTAGGCAAGGACAGGTTGAGTGCAAGTCATCAGATACATGAGGCAGCCCACAAGCTCTGGATACGGGCCACTCGGCTCTACGGAATCGTTCGCAGGTGGAGCTGAGAGCGAGTGACTGGTAGGCAGAGGAGTGGACTGTGGCGAGGAGTACCGGAAGCCGAAGCGCTGGAGGACTTGGTGCACCATGTGTGACTGAGTCAGGGTGATGGTGCACCGTGCTCTGTCCTGGGTGATCTGCAAGCCAAGATAGCTGCGCAGCTCACCCAGGTCAGTGTAGGTGTGTCTCTTCTGCAGCTCCGACTTCATAAGGGCCAGTGCCTCAATGTCAGTAGTGGCAAAAACCAAGTCATTGACGTACACGAGGATGTAGAACGGCGGCAGCGAAGTATCGGTGCGTAGAAAAAGCGACGGGTCAGCAGTCGAAGGAGCAAACCCAAGAGCCGCAAGTGTCGTCCTCAGTGTGTCGTGCCACTCGCGAGGCGCCTGGCGGAGACCGTAGACTGGCCGCCGGAGGCTCCACAGGGTACCTGTAGGAAACGACCCAGTGAAGCCAGGTGGGCGACGCAGCCAGATCTCCTCGTGAAGGCTGCCCAACAAGAAGGCTGTGCTGAAGTCAAGAGAGTGAAGCTCGTAGTCACGCTGAGCGGCGACGTGTAGTAGAACCCGAAGAGTGGTCAACTTCGGGGTAGGGGAGAAGTTATGGAAGAAGTCAACTCCTTGTCGCTGTCTAAAGCCTCGTGCAGCGTAACGATCCTTGAAGACAGGCGGAGAATCCGGCGGCCGCTTCACCCTGAAAATCCACATGCCATCGAATATGTTCGCCCCAGGAGGGGGAACTGCATTGACATAGGTTCCAGTGAACTTCCAGGATGCCATCTCTGCGTCCATGGCTGTCTACCACTGAGAGGAGTAGGGACCCGTAATCGCCTCTGCGTAAGAGCGCGGGGCCGGGATGTCTGGTGCATCCGGGTCTCCCTCAGGTGCAAGCAGCATGGCCACGAGATGAGGTACAGCAGTTGCAAGACACTCAAAGTCCTCCTGCCTATCCTCAAGGACGTCCGTGCCAAGAGCACACTCACCCTCGACGGTCGGAGGATAGTCAGACTCAGACTCAGCAACAAGACTAGCGGCGTAGTCGAGACGACACGCGGCAGCAAAGTCAACAAGCTCAGCAACTAGGGCAGACGCAGCAGCGGACTCAAACGAACGGTCAGTGACAACGGTGGCTAGAAGACGTGTGACAGTAGGACCAGGAGCACGAACTAAGTCAGACTCAGGGTCCGGACCGTCAGCAAAAGAGGACGCAGGAGGAGACGGCAGGGGAGCTCGCAGTGGAAGAGAGGAAGGACGAAGTGCCATAATGTGAGTGCCAGGGACGGGAGGAGGACGCGGACGAGGAACACGACGATAAGTGCGAACAGCGCGAACAGACGAGGCAGGACGAGACTCAGGCTCACGACGCTCTGTAAGAGAGTCTGTCTGCTCAGCGTAAGGAGAATGAGCACGCAGTGGGGAGTCTGGCTATAACTGTGGCTGCGACTGGTGAGGCGGTGGACACAGTAAGTGAGGAGTAAGGCTAGTAGAAGACGGGAGACGAAGAACCTGGCGAAGGACCGAGCCAGGTGGCGGCAGAGATGACGGCGGCGGAACGAAAAACGGTCGCCGCTGCATAGTGCCTCCAGCACCAGTACCGCCAGCTCAAGCACCCCCAGCGCCAGTACCTCAAACTCTAGGGTCTCCAGCTCGAGAGCCTCCAGCTCCAGCGCCTCCAACTCCAGCTCCTTTAGCTCCAGCACCTCCAGAGCCAGCGCCTCCAGCTCCAGCGCCTCCAGCTCCAGTGCCTCAAGCTCCAGCTCCTCCAGCTCAAGCGCCTCCAGCGCCAGCGCC